TTCCTGCATCAAATTAAAAATTATTTAAAAATATGTTTATTGAACATGAATATAAAATATGGGGAGGGGTGGGGGAGTGTAAATAGTCTAAGGACATTGCAACCAGAATTTCTTGGCTAATTCACCAAAGCACAAATGAAATGCTGAAACCCCTTCATAGACTATTCATTGAACTTTGATCAACATATGTGATTTGACCTAATATTAGGCACATATTTTGCTTTGGCAATCATAGATAGAGGTGATACATAACTTAACAGGCCTTCATGATAATCAAGGTACATTTTGCCTATGTAAGACTTATTTTCATGTAACCTGGCCACAAAGAAAAAAAATACTTTGCATATGCCAATGTGATAGAAATTTGCCTCATGATTACATGTCCTGAAGGAATACTAAGTGAATAATGCAACAAATGTAAATTCATTGAAATCAGTTGAAATGCACCATCCAAACTCTACAATTCAGAAGCAGTTTGCAAAAGAAAATATTTGGGGTCACTAATTTAAGTCATAAAAATACTTCATGATTATATTGTCCTCCAATTTGGCACTTGTTTTCTTGATATTCTATTCTTCCAAACTCTCAGGTTAGTGAGCTGCTTGAAAGCAAGGATCATGTCTTTATAGCCAGTGCTAAGCACATTGCTCAGCTCAAAAGAGAATCTTAATACAGCTAGATTGGTTAAATTATTGAAATCATGCTCTTGCCAATATATGCCTCCTCTTTTTATATTTCCTAGTCTTTTTAATAGGACAAATATCTACTAAGCCAATCATTTCTAAAATACATAACATGTAAGTTGTGGATAATTTTTTTTAGTATCCACACTTAGTTTCTTACTTCTATTGATTTTGCATCTTAAGTACATCAAATTTATTATCTTTGAAACTATATTCTCCTTTGGTTCTATCCTAATCATCTTTTCCATGAAATATGAAGTTAAGAAAATTATCCTGAAATTGAGAGTGCCTGCATGCTTTTCTGACAACAAAGGCACTTCAGAGGTCTATAGATAGAAGTTTACTGTCATGGGCATAGTCTCTCTCTCTCTCTCTCTCTCTCTCTCTCTCTCTCTCTCTCTCTCTCTCCACACACACACACAACACACACACACAAACACACAGATGTGTGTGTATACATAAATCCAAAAATCCAAATATGAGTGTGTGAGTATGAATATTTGCTAAACATAATTTACCAGGTTATTAATTTCTGCTATAGTGAAGGCTCATGGATACTTAACATCCTTTTCTTCCTCTATTCTGGTTCTATATTCTCTCTAGTCCATCTTGACTATTTCTCTATTCTGTGCTGGACCACTCTGACCTATGGCAACATCAGAAACAGTCTGTTAATGATAGAGACTCTCTGAAACTGTGTTATGTCTAGTTCTTATAATGTAGAGACTTTGTATCTGGAATAAAGTTTTTTATCAGCTGTATTTTACAGCTTTATCTATTCTTTTCCCTACAGCTTTTTCTATTCTTTATCTATTCTTTTCCTATTTTGCTATTACACCTGCAAGTTAATATCTGAAGATATGCAAAATCCTTCTTTTATTCAAATATGCTCTAAAAATATCCTTTCTGCTTTTTCAAATATCTTTTGTTCTTCAGGTGAAATGGAAGGAACATTAAAGATCTTCTTGAATTTATGGGACGACAAGTTATCTTCCAAATTGAGTATTCCTGGACAAATTTTGCCACTATGTCTCAAAAGGATTTTTTATCTTTTCTTCAATTTTTTGTCCTTTTCCACCATTCAACTCAGCATCTCATTTTCCTGTGCTCATAAGTCATATTTCTCAGTATGAAGTAAGTAGTAGTGAGTGTTCTAAAGAGTGTTAACACTCTAATATTCCACAATTCCAAAAGTAATAGGAAAATTTTGCATTGAAAATAAAAGCACAATTTATTGCTTAATTTTTGATTTAATAAAAATTATATTCGGTACTCATCTGAATAATCAATCTTTCCTTTTTCGTGCTGTCTTTCTTTTCTTTAATTGCAAACAAATTTAATTGTGTGTGTGTGTGTGTGTGTGTGTAATAGAAAACTTATCCATACTGCAGGTGTTTACAGATGACAGCATAAAATGTACCTGCTCTTGGAAAGCAACATGGAAATTATAGTTCCTGGTAATCCCTAGGAAATGACCTAGGTAGAATTATGATTCATACTTGCATATTCATCCTTATGAGATCATTTCTCAGCATATCTTCTCTCTCACTGATAACTGTGACCAAATTGGGGTGATTATGGATCCGCTATACTCACTTTGAAGAGATGATTTGTAGCTATGTAGACATTTTCTATGAGTGTATCTATTTACCTATTAACATTTATTTAATTGTTTTATCATCTTTTATCTATTAAATATGACCACTTATATATCTGGACATCTTAGACAACAGTAAAAAAGATGGAAAGCATCAATAAGGCCAACACAATTTTTCTGGTGATTGGTTGGAAATTTTAGTATTTTATTTGATTCCATAGATATTTGCTAAGCAACAATGTCAGTCACATAGAAGTGCTAAGTTGGACATCAAGTGCAAAGGTCCATTTTTATGGCTGTGATATTAAAAATGAAATGCAGCCACAGGAAATAGAGGCAAGAAATAATTTTCCCTAGCATTGCTTTTTTTCACATTTGTCTGAAATTGAATTTTAGTGGGGTATAAGGTGTATAAAAAGAAGGAAAAAAGATCCTAAATATATATAAATGCAAAAAGGAATCAATTTTTATGAATGAGAAAGTGCTGGTTACGTTTATCAAACTGATATTTTATTTCACAAAGGAAAAAAATTATGTGGATATGAATATGTGATATGTATATAAAATATGTGTTAAATGTCAAACTATATTTTTATTTATTTTTTTGAGACAGAGAGAGAGAGAGAATTTTAATATTTATTTATTTATTTTTAGTTTTCGGCGGACACAACATCTTTGTTTGTATGTGGTGCTGAGGATCGAATCCAGGCGCACGCATGCCATGCCAGGCGAGCACGCTACCGCTTGAGCCAGATCCCCAGCCCAAACTATATTTTTAATATGCAAAAAATAGTCCCATGACTCTTCTGCTAACTGGAAATACAGGGATGCACAAAAACTTCTAGACATCAATAAAAGAGCCCAAGATATTGAAACATGAGAGACAATAACAGGTGCAGAGTCTAAAACAGACATCAGAGGAACTGTACATAGTTCAGGTATACAAAATGTCATGTGGGACACAATATGATATGAAATAATGTGTAATGGAAAGCAAGAGCCAGATCACTAGTAACCAGAAAATTAAACTTCATCCTGAAAATAATGGAAAACATTTGAAGGCATCTAAACAGTAAGTGATGTGACCAGACTTGTGGTTTTGAATGGCCCTGTCACTTCAGGGAGACAAGAATGGACTTGAGGAAGCAAACTTTCTAATGTACAAATCCTACAGGAAGGAATTGGCACCAGCAGAGAGGGGATGATACCCTGCACTGTGACAGTAGGTGTGAAGTCTGGTGTGAAATGCCTCAGCCACAGAACGGATCAACTACACTCCCAGGGCAATCTTAGCTTACATGGCAGACAGGCCCTTACCATTTGCTGGGAACAACCACCAGCCACAGGAAGTGGGAATACCTCAGCTTTCTGGATAGTCAGGTATCCACTAGATGGACTGAATCTTTTCTGACACCTTCTAACATCTGCAGGAGCAGACTAGTGGATCCTCTGGATCACATTTTGCCTGTACCACGTATTTTTATATTTGTGTCTCTAGACACTTATTTAACTAAACTACATCTCAATCTCTTCCTTTGTTAATATTGGAATAAAAATACCATCTACCCAGTGTTGTGCTGGAAAACATTTAACAACTGGCTCTTTGTAAGGGGAAAAAAAAGGTTTACACTATAGTGTTTTTTAAATTTCCATGGTATAAATAATTCCTCTGTGGCCAAATTCAAACTCCCAATGTGATATCAACCAACTTAAAATTTCTCATAAGTCTGTCAGTACAAGCTACTCCAGTACCTTTCTATGCCATAAGACTACTGTTAGGATTAAGTGAACAAATGTTTGCAAAACACTTACTAGGCTCACTAGTACTGAGAGCTTTAATATTCCAAGTAGAATCACATTGGTTCTCATCTATTTCACCATTAACCATGATTATGTAAATAAATGTAATTTGGTTGCTCCATTTTTAAAATGTATTTTTAAGAAAAATTTTGTGCTTTATAAGTTTCTAACTAAATGATATTAATGAAATATGTCTATTATTTCTCGGGTCTCTTAAAGTTGCATACTTTTATGACAATGAACTTTGAGAAACTATAGGAGAATTGTTTAATTTTTCTCATTAGTCTTATGAATTTAAGTGGAGTCATCAGAGAAAATTCAACAATGAATTCTTACTAATATTTTTGAATATGTTAAGACACCATAGATACTGTTGGTTATCCTGCAGGTAGAATTTTATATCTGTACAAGTTCATGTTGGAAAAAATGACCATTTTACGAGCATATACCTGAAAATCAATTTCTAATGTACAAATCCTACCAACAATAAGATGCAGCATGTTATTCTTGAAACTACAATAGCATATCTCTATTTTTATTTGAATGTATTAAAATCATTTTTATATAAAGGTGTTATTACCGATAAATTCATAATATGAAAATTGGAACACATGTCAACATATAATGAAATTCAGAAATGGATAAACTGGGAAAATAGCTCAGAGGTAAAATGTCTGCCTTTGTTAGGCTCTGGGTTCAAACCTCAATACTGGGAAAAAAAACACGAGAAAAGAAAACAAAATAAATGAAAGAAATTTGTTTCATTTTTCTCTAAATATTGATTTATATGAATAATCATTTCTAGAGTAGGATTTGTAAAACTTTCCATAAGTAGAATTTTTGCAAGAGAACATTGTATGAAAATAATAGGATTGCAAGACTATCTGGTTAAAACACAATTAGAAAGCTGTGTTGTCTGCCAGTGCCCATACCCAAAGCAGTATTTATGAGTAAATTTATGGATATATCAAAGTAGAATGCTTAGCAACACACACACACATACACACACACACACAAAATGCTGAGCTGTAAAGTTTACTTAATATCTCTTGGCATTTACAAATTCGACTTCTTTCCTCCTGCATACTTTTCAATGTATTTTTGCTATCCTTACATTCGAAAGAGGTTCATGTTGTCCTTTCCAAGGTTTCAGTTTATTCTTGAGTTATGGAAGCAATTAGTCTAAATATTGAAGATGCCATCCCCCCATACCAATGACCAGTAAAACCTCTTAAGAAGTAGAACCCATTCACCAGACTACAATTAATATCACTCTTTTGACTTAATTTTTGGGCAAAGAGACAAATTGCAAGAGATTTTGCAAAAGAGAGTAAGTATTTATTTATTTATAATTTTACTGAAGAGTCTTTACTCATAGGTATATAAACATAGAACAATCTCATTTTTCCAATAACTTCTGTCACCTCTCATCTGTTATCTACCCTTTCCCACTTTTCTGCTGAATGGAAGACGACATTTTTGAGACAGTACAATATGATTCTATTTTTTTCCCCACCACCTTCTCTTATTAAAAGTGTCATTTCTGTTCTTAAGACTCAGTCCTCTTCATTTTAAAACTAAGGATCACAATAATTGTTTTACCCTGTCAACATTTTACATTGTTTCTACAAAACATAGATAACTCACAAATCTTGGCCATTCCTCCTACCCTCTTATTTGTTTGCAAGGCCTTTCTCTGTGTTCTCCTGGAGTTCATTCAGCACATTGGCTCAATGAAGTTCTTACAGGAATGGGAACTCACCAGTTCCTGAGTTAAAAGAGGAGGCAGAATAGTTAAGCGCCCCCAATTTTGTAAAGATGGTCTGTCCTCCAAAGACAGAAAAGGCCACCAAATCATTTTGATTTCTCTGGATCCAATAGCTTCCAATAGTCATAAACCAAGAATAAATCCTATTACTAAAATATTCCTAGAAAAGCGAGTAGTTTTGTTAATAATGATAGAATGTCTTCTATGGGATTTCTTCAAGATTTTTATTCATCTGCACTGAAAAAAAAATAGAAAATATATTTCTATTAAAATATGTCAATAGGTCAAGGTAGCCAAACAGCCAAGGAAAAATTTTCAGTACATGTTAAAATAATATACTATATGTTCCAATTAATTAAAGTTTCACATTATTACTTTCTTTAAGGAATTAAAAATTAGTCTAAAGCATTATCCTAAGTGCCAAAAGTGCCCAGTGCCATGCTTAGGATCCTTAGAGAATCCTTCTGAACAAATTGGATTCATTGATCCCATTCACATCTATCAATGTGAGTTTGTAAAAAAGAAGCATCTTGAAGTGCACTTTGGCCTTCACTACTTTGGACTAGGTACATGAGAGGAGAAGTAGCATGCATTGTAGATAAAGGGCTTCCATATTGTAAAATTATGGGGAAACATTTGGGGTGGAAGCTGATGTTCTGAGTGATAGGAGACATTAAAAAGTTTAAACTTTTCCAAAAATAGAGTTGAAAATGAAGTAAGTTAATTATTTATCACTATTTTAAGCAGTTTTTCATAAAAGTTTAGTGTTCCTTGTTTTTTATATTAACTACCCTATTATTTTACACGTGTTTGATTATTAAAGCTTCAAACTTATATTTGTCTTTTAAAAAATCCTGTGTTTATAGTTTTTATCTTAACATTTCTGTTCCCACACTCTCTCTTTCTCTCCCTCACTTTCCTGTCTTTGTCTATCATTACATTTTCAATCTTTCATTAAACCTATGTTTTAGTTGATTTTCTGTAGATGGCAAATATGAGAGTTTTAATTAGCTCTAACTACATAACACTTAAGACTGGTCAGGTTATAAGAAATAGCCTTACTCTATGTTGACGGACTTCACACTGTGTTTCTCTTTTCTTTTCTTTGTTTTCACTGGTTGGTGCATTTTCCTAATTTTTTAAGAGTTTCTATAATTTTCTACTTCCTTAGTGGCCATCTTCCCTTTATATTACCTCAAAATTGGAAAAAAAAAAAACCTCTCTCTTATAATTGAAAATGAAGTATCTGTTATTCTTCCAAATAAACAAATGAAAACCTCTGTGATATTTTCATTGACCCCCATGTTGTCCTCTTCTCCCTTCTCTTCATTCTCCAGTCTTTTTAGAAACTTTTCATTCACTCTATCTTCTTCCCCCAACTCCCAAATTTTCCTAGGAAGGTTTATTAGCCAAATGTGTCCCTCACAATATAATTCTTTTCTGCTTTAGGAATTTCATTTAGTACCTGCATCACACATTCTTAGAAAGAGTACCCTTATTTATGTATATTTTAGTGTATACATATTGCCCTGATCTCTCACAACTTTTCTCTTTGTTGTCTTTCCCATGTCAAGGATTTGTTCTGATTTGTTTTCTTTTTGGTTAGTGTTATTCACTAATTTTCTTAAGTGATTTAACCACTAAATGCTTATATGTCTTAAAATTTTTCTCCTACAGGAGACGGATATCTTGTAGAATTCTTAGATCGGTCATTTTCTCTCAGTGGTTAACACGTTCTCTTTCTCTGTGTCAGCATCCAGTGAAGTAGATCACAAGCTTAAAACACATTTGAGGTATTCCTTGTGTAGCTGTTATTAAATTTTCCTGCAAGTCCATGTCTACTCACCATGGCAGTTTAACAAACTACTCCAAAAGTAAAACAACAACATTCTTTTTTTCTGCTTCTGAATCTGCATTTGGTGCTAGGTTCAATAGAGAGAGCCCAGCTCCACTCTCCTTGACCTTGCCTGGGGCTTCTAGAAGACTGGAATCTTCAGAAAGCTTATTCACCCACCTGTGGATGCCAGGAAGCTGATAATTGGAAGAGTCAAGTAAGAGTCTAGCAGAGTCCTTCCTTCCTCAGGCATCTTTCTTTTCCTTTTTGTTTTTTTTTTTTTTCCCCTTCTCCAGAGGGTTTTTGGCATGGCTGCTTCAGGGTAGCTGGGCTGTACTTTCAGAGGCACAAGTTCTGAAAGAGAAAGAGAGACATAGAATAACTAAGTAGAAATTCTATAACCTTTTACATCTAGTTTCAAAAGCCACACAATGCCATTCTCAATGCATTTTAATTTTCTTAGGTTGGCCTATATGCCTATACTCACCAGAGGGAATTAGCCTCTTTTTTAATGAGAGAAAGACCAAAAATTTTCTGAAATATTTTAAATCTTCTATACCCTGCAAGATGAGGATGAGGATAAATATGATGATAATGATGACAATGATGATTGTATTTTAGAAATATCACAATCAACATCCAGGAACCTTCAAACTGTATGCTTAGAACTTTATTTAGCTTAGGGAAATTGCCTTTATTGTACGTTTAATTATTACCTCTCATTTATATGGGTTTTTCTTCCTTATTTTGAGAACTCTGTTCTTCTAGATCTTCTATGCAAATTTCTTATTTTCCCCCATTGTCATTTCTGTATATTTTTGGCTCTGTATTTCAAGATAATTTTGTGCTTTGTATTTTAGGTCATTGACAGGGTCTCAAAATTAGTTTAGTAGGGAATCATGTTTTAGGTTTAAGAAAGTCCTTGTAGTTCTGCTCTTGAATCAGAACTATCAAGGTGATTCTAAGTTTTGTTTCTTCATTGAGGCTTTCATATGGCTCTCAGACAGCCTGTATTTCACTGATTGTATGTAGATTAACATAGAGTCTAATGGAATGGAACCGTAATGCACAATGGTTGCTTTCTCTCTCTGTAGGTTTATGGTTTATAGCATCAGTAGTGACCATCTCCCAGAGTATGGAACACAAAGTGTTTTGCACCCTAGAGACTCATTATAGATACAGTAGACTGCTGCCCCCTGCTGGGGCACCTGCAGCCAGTCCCTTTGTTCCCTCTTCTTAATTCCCAATGTACTTGGGCAAGGAGGACATTCAGTCACCTAGCTCTTTCTCAGTCTTTTAAGAGCCAGACTTCCCTCTTCTTGAGGGAAGTAGGGGGCAAAGTAACTTTTCTTATAAGAGGTCCACAGATCTCTGTGGGAAGGATCTGTCTTCTTATCATCTCCACCAGGCTGACCTTCAGGTGCTTATACAAGGGAACCATTCACCTCTTTTCTCTTTCTTTAATGTTTAATTGTGGGGGGGGGGGGGGGAAGACTGCACAAAAATATTTTTTTGGGATCTAAACCTACTCCATCTCTGTAAGGAAATCATTCTTGATATTGCAACCTTTTAAATATCTCTTTTCTCAATCCCAATCCCTAATATTCAATCATGAATAATCTGCCAACAAAACTGAAGGTGCAAGTTTGTGACATGCTAGTTCCCTTTAAACTCCTCACACTACTGAATCTTCTCCCACTCTAACAAATAGCCTTATTAGTATTAAATGATTTTTTCATGTTGCTAGCCCAGCAATTTTAGTCTTTTTGCAGTTTGAGTCTTTTTGCTGGCATGCTGGGTTTCAAAAGAACCAAACTTTTTGATGATTTAAAGTCATATCTTCTTTGTGGCAAAAAAACAAATTTTCAAAAAAATCATAAAAAATAGTAATTTTCTCATAACTTTTTCCATGTAGGAAAAATACAAATTTCCTCTTGGAAAATTATTTTACAAGATTTCAAATTATGTTGGAGAAAAATTGCGAATAGTCTCTAATTAGGATTGGAAAATTTAATGTGAATTTTATTTCTGACAGAATTAGTGAAGAAATAAAACTGAGGTTAAAAAAACTAAGGGAGAATTGGAAGAAGTTCTACCAATCCCCCACCCCAAAAGTTATTTGTTTCAACAAAAATGGAAACAATGTTCTCTCTGGTATGTGGATGCTAACACACAGTCTGGGGTGAGGGGGAAAGGAGTACAGTATAAAAGAAGTTCATTGGATTATACAAAGGGGAATGAAAAGAAGGGAGAGGGGATGGAAATAGGAAGGGCAGTAGAATGAATCGAACATAACTTTCCTATGTTTCATATATGAATACACAACCAGGGACACTCCACATCATATAAAACCACAAGAATGGAATCCTAAGTAGAATAAGTTATATTCCACATAAGTATAATAAGTCAAAATACACTCTACTGTCATGTAGACCTAAAAACAACAACAAAATAAAAACAAAAATTAAAAACCATGAAAACCATGATAGAGGATCCAGCTGCTGATGTATTACATGTCTATAACCTTGCTCTTTCCTCCATTCATAAAGAAAAACAGTCTGGAGGGAAATTCAGATTCAAAGCTTTAGCTCTATTAAGAATCTGTAACAGCTGAAACAAAGAAAGCTGTTGCTATGCACAGCTAAATCACGGGGTAGGATTTTAATACCGAGCTGGCCTGAGGTAGAATCATCCTTCAATGGGATTCACTCCAAGATATGAATCATGGTCAATTAGGAATAATCACTTCTCTCATGGCTGGGAATAAATCTGTGGCTGCTATAGATTATGGAGAAAAATATATACATGTTTACTTTGTTTCTTTAAATCTTATTTTATGTGAGATTCTAAGCAAAGTGACCATTAATAGTATGTTGCTCAATTTCTTTTCCTAAAGAGTTATATGTATATTTGAAAGGGTGATTCATGTGAAACAGTACTATTTGATCTTAACAGTTAACTGTGCCTTTTGAATAAAGCCTGGTGATCCACAATATATGGACAAGTGGCAAGTAAATATTCCCATGTGCTGAATTTGCAACTTAAAAGGAAATCATACATGATTTATTGATTCATGGAACCAGTGTACTGAACTAGTCACTGCTGAGTATTACCTATGAAAAATTGTCCTTTCCTTGAATATCATCATTGTCTGCTCCAGGGTGAAGATAAGGTCATGTAGAATTCAGGTATCTATGTGTAGCCTAATCATTTTGATCAAAATTTTACTCAAGAATACTTTATAACTTTTAGAATTTTTTGAAATAGACTTTGAGTTATGGAAAAGTTGCAAAAGATGTACAGAAAGTTTGAATAGTCACTTCAGAAGTTCAGCTTCCCTTAATACTAACCTGTTACAAGACAACTGCAGCTCATTGTCAAAACTAAGAAGTTAGTATTAGCAGAATAATTTTTAACAAAATTATAGTTATTATAATTATTCCAATTTTATCAGCTTTTGTACTTTATCTATTCAGGATTTAATTCAGTATACTACATCACCATTTAGACATCATGTCAGGATCCTAAGTCTTCTCTGGTTTGTGACAATTTCTTAGTCCTTCATTGTTTTTCAAGCCCTTCACACTTTTGTTGATCATATTTTATAAAGTATCCATTATTTTTGATTTGTATGATTTTTCTCATGCTTACACACCATGAAGATGAGCTGCCTTTTTCATCCCATTATATCAGAAAATAGACAATATCAACATTACCTACACTGGTAATGTAAACCTTGAACATTTGATTAAGGTTGTGTCCGACAAACCCACACTAGAATTCGTGGAAGCAACTCCAGCTATATCTCAGAGAAATTGAGTTAACCATCTTTTAGAGGGAGAATTATCATTTTATTTTTAATGTTATATTTCTATATAATATGAGAAAGCATATGTAAGAACATTGGGAAAAAGTAAATTTCTTGTCTTTTTTAAAAAGTACCTGATCCAATTCTGTTTGTAACATAAAGATGGGACACTAATTTATATTCATAATCATAAGACTCATAATCCCTGACTAACTAAAGTCAACAGAAAAACAGCAGAGCACCCAACTCACAATTAGTTATTATTGTGGTTGCTGTTGTTGTTTATCACATATAGATGGGCAACTATATAATTTAACTTTCTCTTTTAAGAATAAATGAGAACTATAATCATATTGAGATAAGACATGTATCATGAGACATATTTTCATCCTAAACCACTATATAATTGACTGAATTGCAGACTTTCCAAAAAGTTGCAGTTAAGAGTCAGACAAGTAAGGATTGTCACTATGAAACACTGATTATGGGAGCAGGCTAAAGGTGTCTGTTTTACTCAGTTTTTCATTGCTGTGACCAAGTTACCTAACACAAATAGTTTAAAGGAGACAGTTTGGCTCATATTTTCAGAGGTTCAGTCCAAGGTTAGCCTTTGCCAATTGCTTTGGGTTTGAAGTAAGACAGAATATCATGGTGGAAGGGCATGGCTGTTCAGCTCATGAAAGCCTGAAGCACAGAGAGAGGGAGAAAAGAAGAAGGGACCTGAGAAAAGATAACACTTTCAGCACATATTCCCAACACCCCTGTAATCTACTTTCTCCAACTAGGTCCCACCTGCCAGTAGTCCATTCAACCAACTCTCAGCGAATTAGTACACTGATGAGGTCAGAGCACTCATAATAAAATTCCTTCGCAAAAATCCCAACTCTAAATGTGAGATTTTGGTTGATATTCCATATCCAAACCATAAAAGTATCTTGGCACATTAAGGAGTCTGGGGATAATTTTGAGGCACATGGACCAAAAAAGCACTCCCTGAGACATCTAGATCAAGATAATGTTCTTAAACAGAATCTCCCAGGTTATGCTGAACCCACAGATACGTTTGCTGTTCAAAACCATTGTATTCACTCCTCATATTTGAACAATTAAATATTCACACGTAAAAAATATGAGTTCCTGGGCTGGAGTCATGGCTCAGTTGTAGAGAGCTTGCGAGGCATGAGTAAGGCCCTGGGTTCAATCCTCAGCACTGCATATAAATAAATAAAAAAGATCCATTGACAACTAAAATTTTTTAAAAAATATGAGTTCCTGACTTTTTGTTTTTTAATTAAAAGTTTAGCAACACTAGGCCATCAGCTCACACAGTTATGTTCTGTGGGAATAGGGTAGTTAGTGCGCCCTTTTGAAGTTTCCAGTATGTTCCAGTTCCTAGAGCTCCTCTCATAATGTGGCTCAGGCTTAGAATCACTTTACTGACTTATAGGCAGCTTGCTATTGATTTTCTCAAATAGCATCTGTAGATATTTGAGTTTCTAATCCTTATCCAGCATTTGTGCATGAAAGTCTTTAAGATAAGAAAGCT